AGGAGCGCCCCCCCCCCGCCGACGAGGGGGTCTTCCGCTGGCTGGCCACCGTCTACGCCACCTCCAACCTGGCCATGGCCAGTGAGGAGCGGCGCCTCTGCCACTACGATGACTTCATCCGCTTCGGCAACATCATCAATGGGGCCAACTGGCACACGGTGCCCGGCAGTGAGTGGGGCGCCGGGGCGGGGGGTGGGAGGGCAGCCAGGGACCCCCCTGACACCTTCTCCTGCATCCTGCGCAGGCATGAACGACTTCAGCTACCTGCACACCAACTGCTTTGAGATCACGGTGGAGCTCTCCTGCGACAAGTTCCCGCACGCCTCCGAGCTGCCGGTCGAGTGGGAGAACAACCGGGAGTCCCTGCTGCTCTACATGGAGCAGGTCGGGAAGGGGACCCTCCGTGGTCCTGGGGGGGACACACGCTGCGAGGTCCCACGGGGGATGTGGGCACCGAGGGATCGGGGTTTCGGCAGGGGCCAAGTGGATCGCAGCAGGATGTGTCTTGGGGGTCCCGAAACACCACCTGAGGCTCAATGTCCCCCCCCGCATCCGCCACAGGCACCTCCGTGGGCATGGAGTGTGGGCTCGGTGTGTGTTGTGTGCAGGGGGGCGTGTGCCCCCATGTGCAGGGCAGGCGTGTGCCAGGCACAGTGCAGATGTGCACCCCACATGTGTGCAGTCTGTGGGGCACCCATGCTCGGGCACAATGCGTGTGGCAGACGCGTGTGTGGTGTGTGTGTGCACTCCCTGTGAGTGTTTGTGTGTGTGAGGCGTGTGTGTTTGGTGTGTTGGTGCCACCCGTAGGACACCAGTGCAGTGGGTGTGCGCTGCCTGCCGGGTGTGCCGTAGTGCTGTATGCCGCACTGGGGTCTGGGCACGCACACACACGTGTGCGCGCGTGTGTGTGTGTGCGCGCGTGGTCCCTGCACACCCACACTGCTGACGCCTGCTCCGGCCCATGGTCCCCAGGTGCACCGTGGGATTAAGGGGGTGGTTCGGGACAGAGACACGGAGCAGGGCATTGCCAACGCCATCATCTCTGTGGACGGCATCAATCATGACATCCGGACGGGTATGGTGGGATGGAGATGGGAATGAGAGCAGATTTGGGGATGGGATTGGGGATCGGGATGGAAATAGGATTAGGCTGGGAATGGGGATGGCGAGGGGACAGGAATGGGATTGGGTACGGAGATGGGGAGGGGATCGGGGTGGGAATGGAGATGGGGTACGGAGGGTATAAGGATGGGAATGGGATGTGGTTGGGAATGGGGATGAGATGGGCACAGGAAAAGGATTGGGGATGGGAATGGGAGCGGGGACAGGGACAGAAATGGGATGGGATGGAGACTGGAATAGGATTGTGGATGTGCATGGGATTGGGATAAAGACAGGTATGGGGACAGTGATGGGGATGGGAACGGGGACAGGGATGAGGATGGTGATGGGGAAGGGGATGAGGATAGGGATGAGGACAAGGGACAGGGCTGGAGATGGGGACAGGTGTGTGGCAGCGCCGATGCCCCACGGGTCCCACCCCACTGTGACAGCCTTCGACGGGGACT